GGCTTAGCTGCATATCCAGTGATTTCCCTAATCAAAACACAATGTTCCAGAAAAAGCGGAAGGTGCTGACTGGTACTACTGCTTCGCTCCAGAAAGGACAGAAAATTGCTTACTTTTCTCCCGTTTCCGACTCTTTCCTACCATCCTCTTTCTCCCTCTCAGGCCGAGTAGAGCGCACACTAGGCCGGCCTAGTCTGGAAGCATTAGCCGATCGAACAAGGCAGCTGAGGAGGACAACGGTGCTATGTACATTGCTGATATATATGTGTGTGCAAGGCACAGAGCTAGGCTTGTACGGCTTGGCATTATTTTTTCTGGTCGCCGAGGCATCATTCTTGGCTCAGATGGATCCTGAATAATGCGGTAATGTGAGCTCCACTCCATGAATGCTTTTCTTCCTCCCGAACTTCCATTCCCGCCACGTTATAGAGGAGAGAACCAGCTTCTTCATTAGAGTATCAATGATTCGCTTGATTCGTCGACTGGTGCCGCAATCTTTTCTGTGATAAGAAACTCAGAAGGACCTTTGCTTCCCTTCTCCGTTGTTCTCAGCAAAAGAAAACATCAAGAGCTTTACTAGCAAAGGATTATATTTTTTGAGGTTTCTAAATGATAATATCTATTACTTGATTGGTCTGTTGTTTCATAGTTGTGTTTCATGCCACTATTACACCTGGTAATTTCTCTATTCTTTGTTTTGAGTCTCCTAGAATTTGCTTTGATGGTACTTGAAATTGTCAAAATTAGTTTGAAAATTGTGTCGGGATCTTGAGTTCAAAACAGAGCTTTCGGGATCAGCTGCCCTTGAAACAGCTCTGTAAATCTATCTTTTTATGATCGACTTTCGATAATCTTTGAATATAGAGTTTTGAATAATTCAGATGATTCTTATCCATTCCGATATTTTATCGCATTATATCGATGAAAGCGCCTTCAGTTTCTCGATGAGGTTAAATCCATGCGAAATTGGATACGATTCGTTTTTTTCCAAGTTTTGTTCGTAATCCCCCAAGGAGACGCATTCTCGAAATGAGTGCCCTTTTGATTACACTCGCCAGCTGCCTCATATTGCTTTCTTCCTCGAACGTTGCCCGAAGCTGCTTCCATGTTCGAGAGTTATAATTGCACTTTTGCGTTTTCATGTGAGTTAAAAAAATACATGCGCCGACAGGAACTAACAAGCAAAGGCTCCGAAAAAACTTGTTTGCTGTGCATATTAACGTGCAGCAACGGAATTAATCAGAATCTAGTAGAACTAGACATACATTTGCACGCATTTCCTCCGCTTCCATCTATCTGTTCTTTTCTCGCTTTCTTCTTTATTCTCTTTCGCCTTACTTTACCTCCTTCCTTCACATAATTGACATTTTAAAAAGTCGAAAGTTAACTGACATTTCAAAATCCTAGTGAGTTCCTCCGTAAAAAAAGCATCAATTTTTCAAAAGCGATACTT